GGAAAGCATGAAGAAAACCATAATTTCTTCTTGACTGAGAATGTGATTAAGATTGCTATTCCAACGTGCTTTTCTACACAGTAAATTATTGAATATGTTAATGTTGTTGTAATTAAATTGATTTTAATAATCATAGAAACACATAATACTGTTCAAAATAATTATAAATTGGTTTTTGCAATAGCATGAGAAAAACTGCAACCACAACATTACACAACAGTCTAAAGTGCAAACTAAGGGTATCTAGAAGAAACCTCAATACATCAACAATACATGATCAATCCCATATTCCCGGATGATTTTCTCTCCGGTCATCATCTTTTGTCTTTCTTACATTACCTGCTTCTTGGGAATTGCTCGCAGTGGTACGAGCTTTCGAGCTGTTATCCCCATCCTCTCATTCATGTCTAAATCCTTTGGAGTTGTGTTGATCGGAAGCTCCCAATCAAAATGATGCAGCAAGGTGGCTAGAGCCAAATGAATCACCCTGAGAGCTAGTGGCATGCCAACACAAATTCGTCTCCCCGATCCAAAAGGGAGCAGCTCGAAATTCTGCCCCTTGTAGTCAATTTTGGAGCTTAAGAATCTCTCAGGTTTGAACGACAAGGGATCCTCCCAGGCATCTGGATCTCTTCCAATTGCCCAAGAGTTTACCCAAATGTGGGTATCTTTGGGTATGACATACCCCATAAAGTTTCTCTCTTCCATTGCATTCCGAGGAATCGTTAGAGGAAGTGCAGGATATAGCCGTAGGGTCTCCTTAATCACTGCTTGAAAATAGGGTAGATTTTCTGTGTCACACTCTTCAACCTTCCTTTTTGGTCCAACTACTCGATCCAGCTCTTCTTTAACCTTCCTCATTGATTCTGGGTGTCGGAGCAGCTCTGCCATTGCCCATTCAATTGTACTGCTGCTTGTTTCTGACCCAGCAAAAAACATTTCCTGCACAAAAGCACAAACCAATTAGTAATCAAACTAAGAATGTCATCTCAACTGATAAAAGTTTGAGACTTTAAGGGGGAGGTTTAATATTCGAATCTCTTGAAGCTGATGTGTATAGATTTGGGAAAGGGACTAGCTAAAAAAAGAGAAAAATCAAATTGAGAACTCGTTTATATGTCTTTTCTTGATGAAATTATCTTTACCAGTATGAAAATGAGAACATTCTGTTCTGTTAGCTTATCCGCCCCGTCTTTCCCTTCACCTTGATACTCCAACAGAACATCTAGGAAGTCTTTTGTTGTCGTCTCTTCCCCGAGTTGCTTCTCCTCCATCCGCTCCTTCACAAACTCGGAGATTATTTTCATTGCAGTGCCCATATCCCGCTCCATGTTTCTCTTGATTCCCTGAGGATCCAACCATTTCAAGACTGGAAAGAAGTCAGAGATGTTTGGTTTCCCACCCCACTCCATGACCCTGCCCATGGCGTTAAAGAACTCTCTCCCTTCCTTGGACCTGGAATCTATAAGATCCCGCGACAGCACCAGGTTGCCTATGACGTTAAAAGCCAAGAGGAAAAGAAACTGGGACAAATCAAGCTCCCCTGCGTCTCCCTGCGCACGTGCCACCTCTGCATCCTCCTCCATGTTATGTATCATGTTGTCAATGCACTTCCGCCTGAGGTAAGCCGTCTCATTGAGTCTCCTGTTCACCATGATCTCCACCGTACATAGACGGCGAATCATGCGCCAGTAGGAGCCGTACCTGCCTACTGCCAATGACCCCTGGTTGTAATTATGCGCCGTAAATGAGACCGGACATCTTCGGTCGCAGAAAACCTGGTCATGATTCTTGAAGAGCTCAGTTGCTGCCTTGGCCGACTGTATCACCAGAGTGTTGACAGATCCAAGTTTTAACCAAATCACAGGTCCGTACTTGGGTCTCAGAAAACAGAGGGTTTGGTGCGGGATGGTTCCTAGATCAAATATGTTGCCAAAGACAGGCCACCCTGGAGGTCCAGGGGGCTTGGAACCATCCCGGCGTCGCCGTCTTTCGCTCAGAGGCAGAATTAAAGCTACGGCTGGCAACAAGAGAATCAGTAGGAAGAGCAAACTTGAGGTGATTTCCATTTCCTCTGATATGTATTAATTGGGATGCCCTGCCTTTTAACCACAGTAGGGCATGACACTATTCTACCTGCCATACGACAGTCACATGAATTGATGAAAATTGAAGGATTTTCTCAAATCTTGGGTTTTGGATTGTTCTGGCAGTTGAGGATTTGTTTAATGCTGGCTGCATTGATTAACGAATATCAAATTTGGCATTCGACCGTTTGCCTGCAGCTATTTTCATCAATAATATATATTCTTCATGTATTAAAAAAAAGTAATATTTGCGTATCACACGTAGTTCAATAGTGGTTGCGTTGTCGCTTGCACAGCATCCACTTTTGAGATTTGATTCTCTCATGATACAACAGATATTAATACTTATTTAATTATTTTTTATTATAAAAAAAAGAGTAATATTTAAAGTTACATACAATCAAATCAAATAACTATGTTTCGAAAGGGAGGAGTATTTAAAACTACAATAGCTTTCCACGAAAATATATTTTATTTTAGTGGAAAATTTCGTGTTTGTTTTATTTTTCCATATGATTGGAGCTTTTCCTTTTTAAAAAAGGAAAGATAAGGCAATGCTTATAACACGTGAAATGTAAAGGGCATATGACCTTAATCTAATAACAAGTTAATTATAAGTTGATACATTTTTAAAACTAAATATACATATCAATTCATGCAAATTCAAAAGGATGAGAAAGAATCTCACTTTATTTTTGAAGAAATATCCTAATGGTTAAGAGTTTAAATTTTTTTATTTGAAATTCAAATCATATAATAAATAAAAAGAGTTTAAAAATAAGAATATGATCTTTAGTTGTATAATTCATTATTTAATATGCTGAAAAAGAATTTTACTTTTTCATTATTAGGTATACATATAAAATTTTTATAATTTAGTTATACTTTGTAAGATATATAGATATGAACAAGAATTTATTTAAACACAAATCTTATATATTACATTTACATAAAATTTTAATTATTTATCTTTTTATTTTTAATGATTAAAATTTATTTATATTTATTAAAAAACAAATCTTTTTTTATCTAAAAAATCATAACAAATCTTAACCATTAAAAATAAAATGATAAATAATTAAAATTTTATGTAAATATAATATATAAAATTTATATATGTATGAATTTCTACCATATATATATATCCACCGACACACACAACATCGTCAACTTTTGACTAACAGGTGGGTGAATGGGACTGGTACTAGATGACTACAGTACTTCTTGAAAGTTTTCCAAATTTTATTTTATTTGAACAGGTACAATTTAAGGTAAAAAGAAAGAAATTATACTACAATAGCATCATGATTCAAATCTTAATTATTATTAAGATATTAGATGCATAGCTGGTGCCTTTCCGAAATTTTAAGTTTGTGTCACATTCATTGGGCATGAATTGTTATTGGTGTATAATACTATTTCAAAATAATGATCAAACACTGTAGGTCTGTAATAGTTTTTGTGAAAGCAAGATATGAAGAAAGTTACAACCAAAAGATTATGCAGTGATCTCAAAAGCAGCCAAAATCCATAAAAAATTAATAAAGCTTAGCCGCTAGCAACGTTCCAACTTTCAAGGGTATGAAAAAAAAAAAATGGAATTAGTGAAACAAAGCAGAAATGTTACTTTCAATTCAGACTTGCAGTTAGTCTGGGCTAGAAACGAGCATAATACCTTTAATGAATAACACAAGTGCTTGAATTCATTAATGATATTTTATTTATTTCTAGTTCAAAGCGGGATTTTAGCCGGTTTGGATTAAAAAAATTGCAATCTAGAAATAAAGCCACAGACCTTACCCAAGTTGAGTGCAGCAAATTTCATCTAGTGAACAGGTTTTGACAACTACCAATTATACCAGCAGTGTTATATTTCAATGCCACAAATGTATACCCCAATATAAGAAGTTATTCCAATGCTAGAAACGGATATCATAATAAGGTCTTATGAACTTATCCTATATCATCTGTCCCTTGTCATTGGCCTAGCTAGCTTAATTTTGTGCTTACAAGTCCTCTTATGGATTCAACCAAGGTGAATATGTTCACAAGAAAGCAGAGGACTTTGCTGTGCAACTTTCAGTGTTTCTCTGCTTGAAATACATTCGGACAGGGGAATGTATTGACAAGGGCTAAAAAAATATGCCTCCTAGCTGACCTAGAACTTGGTTGAAGTATGAGAATATGATTGCAATGATTGTTGTGGATGGAACGTAAAGAGTTCTGAAACTGAGCCTCAGAAGGTTTAGCTAAAATAATGGCAACATACATCCATTTTTTGACATGATATAATAAATACATATTTTTATAATAAATTTATATTAAAAAAATAAGAATTGATATTTAATTTATTAATTGATCAATTAAATTTATTATTTAATATCAACATTAAAATTAATGTTAATTTTTATATTTTTCTATATGTATTTATGATAAAAAATGACTAGTACCCACAAGTTAGAAAAACCCTTCTACATTTGCATGCTGTGGTTGACGTAAAGCTGCCAATAGGTATAGAAAATAAAAATTAACATTCACAAGATAGGTCCCCCCAAAAAAAGCAATTATAACCTCTCTTTTTTTAATTATTCATTCATTTATTTTTAGTAGTTCTAATTTTATTTCTTTTTATTTTTTGACTTTTTGAATATAAATTTTAAATGAAAATTTAACAACTTACATAAATAACAAAAGTTTTTGTTTCATATATGAAATTCTTGTCAAGCATTTTTATTTAATTAAAAAAATATCAATTGTCATTTATATAATGTGTTAAATTTTCATGTAAAATTTATATTTTCATGTAAAAAAATTTATATACAAAAAATTTAAAAATTAAACTAGAACAGCTAAAAATGAACTAAGGGAGTATAAATAAAGGATATTAATTAGTACACATTCTGATTTAACATATTACACAATATATTTATTAAAAATCAATATTTTTTAATTTGAAATTAAAAATAGATAAATTTAAAGATATAATCATACATACATAACGCCAAAACCAGTTAAATTAGACTATTTTTATATTATATTTTAATAATTAAACTGAACAAGTATAAAAAAATATATTGAACCAAATGTGTACTAATTTTTTTTTTTTTTTATAAATATACACTTGGTATCCATCAACTAGATGAATCACGGTACAAAAATTGGATAAAGTGATCAAGTGGCCAGAAAGTCAGAAACCATGGCTAGTAGAATCCAAACCCAGTTAAAAGATTTCCTGGTGCAACATCTCCAAGGGATGTTTTCACAGATCCAATTCCATATATACATCGACACAGGAGGCAGAAGCGGGTTGTCACTGAAAGTGCTATCATGGATGCTTTCTTCATGGTTTCATATCACTTGCCGCTTCCTATAAATAAAGTATATTACTCATAGGAATGTGTATATTCTTTCATGGAAGGCATACTTGCGTTTCTCTTTTACATGACTATAATTTCATCAAAAAAATGTTAAATAAGACATGCAAAAAAATGTTAAATAAGATATGCACATCAACATTTTTGTGTTTATTCTTGGGTAGCCAAGAATAAGTTGAATATCCGCTGCATTGGTAGTCAAGAATAAGTTGAATACTTTGTTGCATTGAATAACCAAAGTATTTAAAAAAAAAAAAACAAAAAAACAAAATTTCATATGAATATATTATTGCAGCAGATCCATTATGAATGTCAAATCTTGTCATATGGCTTATATGCCCCCTTAAATATAGGTCCGGGCTCTAATACATATGGACTCAACACAAGGGTTGCATTCAACATAAAACCAATTAGCTCTCTTTATATTAAACCCACATACTTCTTTGTTTTAAACTCGATCTAGGATTTTCACGTGGCTTAACATGTTGAGTGGGAAAATCCCACATTGAGTGTATAACAAATAAACTTGTGGGTTAAATATAAGAAAGGCTATTCCACCTATTATTAATTGGTTTTAGGTTAAATGCAAACCTTGTATTGAACCCACATGCACAATTTTCACACATTATATGCCAACCATTCCAAAAAAGCATGGCACATGGAAGATATTCCAAAAAAGCATGGCACATGGAAGAGAGTATCGTATTCTTCACCTAATACATGTCAATCAACTATACATAAGAAACACATTTTGACATAACATGAGTTACATTCCAATAAATTAAAACCATAGTTGCTATCCCAATGTGCTTTTTTACACAGTAATAAAATACTTTTCAAAATAATTATACAAAATTTTTGAGATAGCATAAGAAAAACCGCAACCATAGCACTACACAACAATCCAAATACAAACTAAGAATATCTAGATGAAACCTCTCAATACATGATCAATATATATATATATATATATATATGTATCTTCACAGTAGACTATATGACTTTATACTGCGGTCGCCGGTCATCATCTTTGATCTTTCTTATGTTACATGCTTCTTGGGAATTGCTCTCAGTGCGTGGTACTAGCTTTCGAATTGCCATCCCCATCCTCTCATTCATGTCCAAATCCTTTGGAGTTGTATTGATAGGAAGTTCCCAATCAAAATGATGTAGCAAGCTGGCCAGAGCCAAATGAATCACCCTGTGAGCTAGTAGCAGGCCAACACAAATTCGTCTCCCTGATCCAAAAGGGAGCAACTCGAAATTCTGCCCCTTGTAGTCAATTTTGGAGCTTAAGAATCTCTCAGGTATGAACGAAAAGGGATCCTCCCAAGCATCTGGATCTCTTCCAATTGCCCATGCGTTCACCCAAATCTGTGTATCTTTGGGTATGACATACCCCATAAAGTTTCTCTCTTCCATTGCATTCCGAGGAAGCATTAGAGGAACTGCAGGATGTAGCCTTAGCGTTTCCTTAATCACTGCTTGCAAATAGGGTAGATTTTCTGTGTCACTCTCTTCAACCTTCCTATTTGGTCCGATAACTCGATCCAGCTCTTCTTTAACCTCTCTCATTGATTCTGGATGGCGGAGAAGCTCTGCCATTGCCCATTCAATGCTACTGTTGCTTGTTTCTGATCCAGCAAAAAACATTTCCTGCACAAAATCACAAGGTAACCGATGATGTTATCTCAATTGATAAAAGCTTGAAATTTTAAGTGAGCGGTTTAATATTTGAATCTTAAAACCGATGGGGACATATTTGGAAAAGGGACTAGCTACCAAAAGAGAAAAATCAAATTGAGAATTCGTATGAAATTATCTTACCAGTATTAAAATGAAAACATTCTGTTCTGTTAGCTTACCCGCACCATCTTTCCCTTCGCGTTGATACTCCAACAGAGCATCTAGGAAGTCTTTTGTCTTCATCTCTTCTCCGAGCTTCTTCTCCTCCATCCGCTGCTTCACAAACTTGGAGATTATTTTCATGGCAATGCCCAAATCCCGCTCCATGTTTCGCTTGATTCCCTGAGGATCCAACCATTTCAAGACTGGAAAGAAGTCAGAGATGTTTGGCTTCCCACTCCACTCAGCGACCTTGCCCATGGCGTTAAAGAACTCTCTCCCTTCCTTGGATCTTGGATCTCGAATCTACAAGATCCCGTGACAGCAGTGGGTTGCCTATGACGTTGAATCCCAAGATGAATAGAAAGTAGGACAAATCAAGCTCTCCTGCTTCTCCCTGCGGACGTGCCACCTCTACATCCTTCTCTATGTTTTGTATCATGTTGTCAATGCACTTCCGCCTGAGGTAAACCGTCTCGTTGAGTCTTCTGTTCACCATGATCTCCGCCGTGCATAGGCGGCGGATCATGCGCCAGTAGGAGCCATATCTGCCTATTGCTAACGCCCCCTGGTTGTAATTATGTACCGTCATTGAGTCAGGACATCTTCGGTCGCAGAAAACCTGGTCATGATTCTTGAAGAGCTCAGTTGCTGCCTTAGCCGACCGTATCACCAGAGTGTTGACAGATCCGAGCTTTAACCAAATCACGGGTCCATACTTGGGTCTCAGAAAATAGAGGGTTTGGTGCGGGATGGTTCCTAGATCAAATATGTTGCCAAAGACAGGCCACCCTGGAGGTCCAGGTGGCCTGGAACCATTTCGGCGTCGCCGTCTTTGGCTCAGAGGCAGAATTAAAGCTACTGCTGACAACAAGAAAATCTGTAGGAAGAGCAAACTTGGGGTGATTTCCATTCCCTCTGATCTGTGTATATCAATAATGATGTCCTGCCTTTTAATCCTAGTATTGCATGACACTATTCTACCTGCCATTCGAGTGTCACATGAATTGGGAAAAATTGAAGGATTCTCTGAAATCTTGGGTTTTGGATTACACTGGCTGTTGATAAATTGTTTAATGCTAGCTGCATTGATAAACGAATATCAGATTTGGCATTCGACCGTTTTCCTGCAGTTGTTTTCATCAATAATAATATTTAAAAACTACAATCATTTTCCTCAAAAATATATTTTATTTTAGTGGAGAATTACTAGTGTGTGGTTTTTTCCGTATGATGGGAGGTTTTCCTTTCTTTAAACAAAAAGATAAGGCAACGCGTGAAATGTAATGGGATATTTCGTTGATCTTACAACTAGTTTATTATAATTTCATACATCATTAATAGTAAATATACTTATTAATTCATGTAAAATTCAAATGAATGAAAAAGAATCTCACTTTATACAAAGCACTCGTTTAAAACCTGTGATCAAAGAAGATTAAATATGATTTTAAGAACATAGTTAAATTCAACTACATAGGATCCCATATATATAAATCCAATGACATGTTTGGATGATTATTGAAATAAGGAGCTTCGGATAAAAGCATTAATCAACATGGACAAATATGCCCTTGTATAGTAGACCAAATAAATTTTACAATAATTAATTTTATAATAGTTAATTTATCATTAATATGAAGTCAATTGAAATTATTTATGAAGAATAGCGTGTATTAATTAGTTTTGACTCTTTAGAAAAATTAGAGTCCTAACCTTGTTTCATTTAATTAATAACAATGTTATAATTACAATACCACATAAAATTGTAAGTTTACAATTATAATTTGGTAGTAAATAAATATATACGATATTTCATTAAATAAATAAATGCATATAATATCATGAGTAGACTCTTAAATGAAAAAAAACTAATTATATAATGATATCATATTGTAAACTTACAATATTATGTAATATTATAATTATAATATTTTCGTTTAATTAAAATTTAATT